AGTGGGGCACAGCTGTTTAATCTACCAGCGCCCCCTCGCTACCCAATCCCCTCCTCCTTTCTGATGCAGAGCAGGCTTCAGCTGGTGGGGAAGTTTTTTCCCCCGAATTTCCTCAGAATGACAGATTTCTCTGTGGATCCAAACAGATGCAAAATACGCAGACAAGACACAGAGGAATGTAGATGACATGAGGAAGACGATTGCAACACTTGACCACAAGGGTATTTATCCCTAAAGCTTTCCTCCTTCTATAATTCTTCTAGTATTTTGCATAGATTAATGAAATTAATTTGCTTCTCGATCAGGAAGTTACCACATGCTGTTTGCCCAAGAAAGAGCACATATGCATAAACCTTCAGTGCACTTTATATTCTCAATTATCAATATGTTGTTTAATCCATGATTGGTCAGTAATAGAGAGCAAGCAATCCACATGCCACACTGTACTACATCTTATTATCAAGTGATTTAGGTTGCAAACGTGGTGAAAGAAAGAACAAAGGTGAAATGTGTGAAATATGAGGGTGGTGCAAAAACGAAACTGGACCAAAACAGGAAGACGGAAATGAGAATTTGTTCAAAACGGCGGCTACAGAGGCAAGAGGAGGGAAGACGACAGGAAATGATGGAGATGAAGGAAAAGTGGAAGACGTTTGGGGAGAATGGGGCGTGCAAGTTGCTTGCCAGAGAAAGACGGAAATGGATTTTGGCAGGAGGGTGAAAGAAAGGACAGAATGAAGCGTGGATGAAGGATTGTTTGAGAACAAGCGAGGGACAAGCCGGAAAACAGGAAAGAAGCCAACAAGAAGGGGAGAATAAGTGAGTGAGACATGGGAAATGGATTAAGGAAAGAACGTCTGAATCGACGGAAAAAAAGTATGAAATCTGTTCAGAATACATTGGGAGAGATGTAGAAATGGTCATTTTCTGAGTGTAGTGTCTCAGCCCTGCCACTAGTGGGGGATAGAACAGATTATGTGCACAGCAGGATTAGATTCCTCCTGGAAATATCTCAGAGGAAGGAGCAGTTGAGTTGGGATATGATGACGATGACAGAAAATCAGCATTATGAGGAGATCACGTACTCACAAAGCAAACATCTTATTTTTTGCTTTCTCTCCTCAAACCTCGACACACCCCACCCCGTTTCTATCTCCAGCAGTCTCCACTGTCAGCAGCATCCCTTCCTCTCTATCTCTCTCTAATTTAGTGATTGCAGCAGAGTAGCCGTGTCATTACTGAAGCAGCCTCGGTGCTAGACGCTGTAATTGCCGCTTTTTTTCCAGAAAGCACAGCAGACCCGCGCTAATCTTGAGCGCAATGTCAAAACATACCAGTAATTGCTGCTCGGGTGGTTTTGGTTGTAATTTAAAACAAATTGTTTTTTCAAAGAGAAAATGTTCTGTTTTTGCAGGTAAAGCCACAACAGAACAAAACGCGAAGCTGGTTTTTAAAGGGAAGGTCGTCTATTGGGGATTTTAGGATGGAGAATTAAGCTAATAGGTTTTTCTTAGTTTCACTGCATTTTTTCAATCCATGTCCCGATCCATCATTTTCCATCCCACTTTGTGATACAAAGAAACATACAATTTATCTGTTATGTGTTGCCCTCATTTTAGCCTCTTCCCATCCGCTGCTTTCCTTTTTCCATCAAGTTCTCATTATCTTCTCAATTTGTCTCCAACAAACAGACAACAGAATGCACACACAACATGCCCACATGCGTGTTCAAGCACATGTGCAGGTCAGCGTGGGTAGGGAGACTCCTGTGGGGGGGGGGGGGGGGGTTCATGTTGGTACTGCAGAATAGAGAGGTGGTCTATTTTAGATCTCTGCTGCAGCACAGGGCAGTGGCGTTAAAGGAGAAGTCCAGTCAGCTCATACATTCATGGAGATTTAATGAAATAAGAGTTAATCAGTAAAAAAATAAAAACAAAAAAATTGGTGACATCACCGCTTTACAAGCAAAATCAATGGGAACTACTAGACACAACTGCACTCAGCAACAATTATTGAAGATTTTCAGAGGACTTCACCATTGAAATTCACCAGAGCTATAGTGAAACTGACAATGCCCACGTGCATGGCAGCTGGATGTTGGAATACATCGGCTAAAAGTGAAAAAAAATAGTTATTTCACCTTTTCCGATTTCTGATCCTCCACGGACGGGTTCGTCGTTAGATTGCCAACTTGAAAAGGGAGGATTTGCCATTGAACTTCTGGCCAGAAAAAAAAAAAAAACACGTAATATGTAGCCAACATGTGTAAGAAGAATCGCGAGCTTTCAAGATTTCACTCGCTAATCAGTCTGGAGACTCTCCGTTGAAGAAAATTTGGAGCCGTTCACCAAACGAACGTCGAATCAGCGTTGGCTTTGAGGCGGGTTGAGGTGTGACGCAACGAGAAGCGCGACAGTTCAGTCTAAAGAACATGGCGCCTTCAGCCGATGAAACTAGCATTAGCGTGGCTATCGAGAAAGTTCGATCGGAATTACAGAGTATTTCTTCACTGAAAGAAGAGCAAAACACTGCTCTGGAGGCTTTTCTCAGAGGAAAAAATGTTTTTGCTCTTCTCCCGACTGGTTTTGGCAAGAGTAGCCTGGCTTGTGGTTGTGTTTTCGTCGTCGCTCTGTTAGTACGTCATATGCTTCGTTGATCTGATTGGTTTATTTGGCCCGTCTATCACCAACATAGGCCAATCAGCTAACCAGTATTTTCGCCCCTTCCCAAAATTACTTCAACGGAAGGTTTCCAGATCTGGCGGAGTCAGGTTATTGGATAATAGCGCGTTGTGACAAACACCAGATACAGCACTGGGACTTGATCAACAGCCGATACCGCACAGTGACGTCACAAACCGGGAGCTGGCAGTAGTGTTCTTTGACAAACCTGGATGAATAAATGAAAATTACTCTTAATTAAAAACACTTATCATGTATTGAACAGTATGTAATAATTTCATATTTAAAGGACTTTCAGAAGTTTGAATTTTGAATATGACCGGACCTCTCCATTAAAGGAATATGCATCTGGAGATCTGGGAGGCTTCTTGCTGTCTGCTGACATTCAAATAATGGAGGTGCCCAGCGCCCGAGGCAGAAAGGTCCATAAAAGTCCACAAAAAACGTGTCAATATTCCTCCATACTGCTCGTCCAATGTATTCCAAGTGTCCTGAGTGGGTAGCATCCAGAATTTACTCGAAACGAAGTTATTTAGAATGTTTTTAGAGCATAAACAGTAGTGTATAGGCTTTCCTGAAAGCGCGTTCACGACGCTACGGAAGCCGGCAGACCAAACCAGCGCATTCAGCTCGGCAAAGAACTCATGCTCTTCCTCAACACTGAAGTCCTCAGACATTTTTCTTTCGTTGTTTCTTTCTTTCCACAGGTAAACAGCACATTTCTTCTTCTACGCTTGCATTATTGGCAGAGCAGACGCTGAATGCGCACTTTCATCTGGTTTGGTCTGCCGGCTTCCGTAGCGTCATGAACGCGCAGGTGCGCGCTTTCAGGAAATCCTATACACTACTGTTTATGCTCTAAAAACATTCTAAATGACTTTGTTTCGAGTAAATTCTGGATGCTACCCACTCAGGACACTTGGAATACATTGGACGAGCAGTATGGAGGAATATTGACACGTTTTTTGTGGACTTTTATGGACCTTTCTGCCTCGGGCGCCATAGACCTCCATTATTTGAATGTCAGCAGACAGCAAGAAGCCTCCCAGATCTCCAGATGCATTTGAGATATCAAAAAAGTACTCCAGAGTGTTGTTCAGCATGGGGGTGAGTAGAAAATGAAGGCTAATCATGTTTTGGGTGTACTATTCCTTTAAATCAAACTACAATCCAGATAGGATGCAGGATGAGTTCTTCAGAGCTACTGCTGAGATGCAGATCCCCCCTCAGATTTCCTAAAAATCTTTTGCTTATCCAGGTTGTGCTTTTTTTTCATTTTCTTAGGCACCGTCTAAACATAGCTCTCTGGGTTTTAGCCTATAATCTTCTAAGAAATGCATTCTGACATAGAGGATAACTCCTAATTAATCCACTGCATGAGACATCATCAAACCCCCAGCCTGGTCACCATCAGCCCCTCATCTCTCCTAATTTCCGCGCCGTCTCTGTTGACAGTGCAGGAGATGCACGCAGCATGACCCAGAGGTTGATTGAAGTGAAGTGAGGGATAATAAGTTGGCACAGTGGCGATGAAACTTCTTTGACACGCTGATGAAGTGCTGCTAATTGCCAAGTGCCAATGAGAAGTGCTCCATTAATGCAAGAGGAGGAGGGGGGGGTGCAAGCAGAGAGAAACAGAGCGCTGACAGATTCACTTAATGCCTTTTGCTTCAGGTGAAAAAGGGAAGAGTGATTTAAAACAAACTGATGCTCCAGGGGCTGAACGCTGCTGCACTGTCAAATTCAGGATGTTTTTTTTTTTTTTCCTGCTAATCAGCGTCTCTTTCTTCGCAATGGGAACTTTAATACGCTTTCCTTGAGAACAACCATGAAATGTGTTTTTGCACTGTGTGATACTCCTTTTGAAAACATTGTTTTTATTGCTGACATTGCTGAGATTTCCTGTTCTGCTGCGCTCTGTCCTATTGCACTTGTTTTAGCTGTTTGATTTCTTTGCACATAGTTGCAGTTTAACTTCCTTTCCCACTGCTTAGGATTTCCTAATGTGCTTTCACTTCGCTGAGGGCTCCAAGTTCTAAAAACATGTAACCATTTGACATCTAAATTAATTTAAATCTGTTTAACATGACAGCGGACTTAAAAAAAAAAGGAAAAACTTAATTTAAACTCAAGGTAACTAGAATGTTGTTAACCTGTCTAACCAAAACAAACAAGTTCTTCCTCTCCTAACTAAAGCTGATTTAAAGTTCATAACCTGCTAAACCTTTGCAATGTTGCCCTTCTAACTTTTTTAACTTCCAGATTTGCCTGTAACCTATTTTTTTTTTTCTTAATTTGTCTTCTCCAAATTTCTTAAAGGGACCTCTGATAATGAGCGCCTGGCTCTTGCTAGACAAAGAATCCCATACCGACTTGGTCGGGTAGTTGATGAGTGGCTACTCGAAAAAGGTAATAAAAATCCCTTTAACTCCACTAATGATCTAACCGCCTAACCTACCGCTAACCACAGCTCCAGAGGAGGTGCAGTGCCATGCAGCAGGGGGGAATCTGATTGGCTCCTGAACTGAACTAAAGGTTTCCTTTAACCAGCGAGCCTGACTGCGACCAGCTAACGTTTTTGTTCTACTGCTAGGAAAGCTTAATTGCATTTCTACCAAATTAAGCTGGCCATCAAAGAGAATTTAAATTTAAAAAAAGGCAATGTTCAGGGGAGCCTTATCCAAGGCACCCTAAATTGGGGCTGCATCTCTTCAGAGCTTTAACCTCCTAATAACCCAACATAACCCTCAATAACCTGCCCACATGTAAACCGCTTCCTTCCTGTGTCTTTTGTCTGCTGAATGTTGGCTGAATGAAAACAAGAAAAAAAGTTTGATTTGCACTGGATTTTTACAGAACAGTGCAACCCCCCCACCCTACACTTTCCCTTTTTCCCTACAAATGAAAGTCACTAAAAGTTAAAGGGGACTGTTTTTGGATGAATTCAGTGCCCCATGCGGGGGCCTTTCGCCCTACCTGACAACGCCCTGAGTTCTCAATGTGGTCCCATTAAACCGATGACTCTTTAACCCTTTGAGTATCGAATGTCCTGACCTTTTCTGTCTTCGTTTCGCTCCGTGCGTTTGTGCTGCTGTAGGTGGTTGATTCTTCAAAAGTAGGAGAGGCCGGTTAAAAGAGAAAAACCCTTCATGGGTGTCTAAATACATATGCATTGCTTATTTTTGGCATTAGAGATGCTTTGAGATGATCACAGCATAAAGGTCTTTCTTTGAAAAACACAGTAGATACAATCCATTTCAGGGAAGTTTTTTTTTTTTTTGCAACAGACAAACAAGATAAATGAACTGCTTGCATATTTATTTGATAGAAACAAAACAATCGTATTCATATCCAGCTCCCCATAAACTAATTTCTTTTTTCTCTCCTGCGGTGCAACGGCAAACGCCCCATTGCTGAGAAATAGTTAGAACAGAAATTCGAATTAAAAAGGATTGGGAGATTAAAGTTGAATGAAAAGATGAATCAATAAAAAATGACTTACCCACTTTATGAAATGAGCTGTGCGCCATGAAACTCTGAGGAGAAAGAGCTTAAAATTGAATCTATTATTCACTTTCTTCTCCACTTTGAATTCTGTCGATAGACGAGCTTAATGGGAGTAAATAGTTGTAAACACTCCCATTGGATCATAAGTTAGGAGTTTATTAAAGTGAATATAAAGCAAGATTTTATGTTTTAATTGTTAGTATAAATTGATTTATTAAGGCGATAAAATAAAGGTCATGAGTTAGAGATAAAAAGTCATTTGTATTTCTAATTTGCTGTTTTTCGTTCAAGTCCAGATAATGTTAAATAGAATTAGTGGACATTTTTGATCTCAAAGGGTTAAAGTTGTTTTTTTTCTTATCTAAAAAGAAAGCGAATAGAATTTAAACTTCAAACGCTCAAAGCAGAATCTAACCACCGACAGCAAATCAAACTGCCCACACTAACCACTGAGGACTCCTCTCAGGGTTTTCCATCTTTCCGAGCGACGAGTTGAAAGAAATTTGGCAACCCCTTCCAGCCGATCCGAGCTGGTTATAAAATCCCGGAGTCCTCAGTTCTAACCTTGTTATAAATTATTTTTAACCGAATCTTGGTGTTGGTAATTTTGGAAGAACTTGGACAGGTCGTTGCTATCAACGAAAAACTAAACAAATGCTAACCGTTTTCTAACTCCCGCTAAAAGAAACGCATCTTGAAGTGAAGAAGACGTCCTCCAATTGTCCTCTCTTTTGTTTGTTAAAGCAAAACTCAGAGGGTTAAAAAGAAGCAAATGGTTGAAAATGAAATTGACCTAATTCACTCTCGATAAATCCAGTAAAATAGTTTTCAGAAGAAAAACGAGAAAGGTCCCTTTAACGTTTACTGTTTTCACCCCTCAGGAAATCGATGTGTTCATTCTATATGCCACTTGGTGAAACGTGTCTTTGTGGTCGAGAACCAGCATCACTGAAGCAGCAGTTGTTGGTTCAGGCTTTATTATGTGTGACTTTTCTTCACATGTTACAGAATTTTCAGTGTGACAAACAGTCAGCCCTGTGGGTCTCCTTTTTTAACAATCTGCAGTGTTATTTACATCAATGCCAATATATTTATCTGGGTTTGTATTCTTAATGTTGAATGAAACAGAATTCTGTGGGGAACTTATTTGAAAAACACTCAAAAGTTTCCATCTGAAGCCATTTTTATGTTTTATGCAGTAACCAATCCTTCTATCGCTGTCTGTTTAACCTGTTTCCTCTTTATTTTTATTGAGTGCTAGGAATTAACCTTGCAACTTAACTTGATGCTCTTTAAATATATTGCACACAAAGAAAACCTGACAAAAAAGCATTCTTGTCAGGATTTTCAAATATTCTGGGTTAGGAGTTATTTTCCTTGGTTCCCCATATTAGTTCATGCTTTGTTTTTAGCTGCTAGTTTATTCTTTTGTTCCTTTTTCTTTTAATAATTTTTCTTCTTTTGTTTTAAAGGTTCTTTGTTTCTCTGTTCAGCTACATTGATGTTAATTAGGCACCTTATTTAAGTTCCCTGCTTAGATTTTCCGCCAGTTTCTCTGCATTCTGTTAATTGTACCAACCTGGCATTGGTATCACTTATCATATCTACACAGTTTTTAATTCAAGGATATCTTTTTTTCATACCAGTTCCATTTCACGTATGTGGCACTTAATTTAAGTCTTCGCTGGATTCTACAATTGTTAAAGAATTGGGAGCTGTGTTGTGGGGCTGAGTGCAGACAGCTTTGTGCCATGGCAAATACAAAGTGATACAACATTCGACTAATTAGCATAGTTATTATGACAGTATTAATCTGCAGTCTGTGTATAATGGCTACAGCCCCATGTTGGTATTTTATTGACCTGTTGCTATTGGTTTATTTATTTATTTTTTCAATGATTCAAAAGGGCAGAGAATATTCAGCACATTTTACTCAAATGCTGTGCAAGTTTTTTTTGAAAACCATGAAGAATGGAAACATTTACCCAAAAGTGGTTTGGCTGTTTACCGAGCGTTTTTTGTGTTTAGGATCTAAAATAGTAACTAAGTAAGTAAGTAAACTTTATTTGTATAGCACTTTTCACAGACAAAGTCACAAAGTGCTTCACATGATAACATATAAACAACACAAGTAAAAACAGATAAAATGCAGTAAGAGCTAAAATAAGTAAGTGAATAAACAATAAGCTATGTGCTTTGGAAGGCTTGTGAAAACAGGTGGGTTTTTAGCTGCTTTTTAAAGATATCCACCGAGTCCAGAGAGCGCAGGGACAGGGGGAGTTCATTCCAGAGACGGGGTGGTACCACTTTAAAGGACCGGTCTCCTCGGGTTTTAAAACGGGTCAGAGGAATCATAAGCAGACCTGTCATGTAGCCAGGTGCCTGTCCATGAAGGGCCCTGAAGGTAAAGGACCAGGATTTTAAAATTTATCCTGGAGGCAACAGGAAGCCAATGTAGGGACTTCAGGAGAGGATTAACATGGGCTGTCCTATTTGTGCGGGTCAGGAGTCTTGCAGCAGAGTTCCGGACAAGTTGTAGGCGACCCAGCTCCTTCTTGCTCAGACAGGTAAACAGGCTGTTATAGTAATCCAGTCTTGAAGAAATGATCAAAAATGTAAAATGGTTTTACAAGTCTCTTTGTGATTAAAATCAACCTTTTTCTTTTAGGAAAATATGTTTTGTTGACTTGGTAAAACAGATCTTATACATTAAATTTGGCATTTTTAGCTACAAAAGATCTAGTTTTGTGGCCTGCAAGTGAATCCAGCAATCTGATTTTGGGAAGAGCAGCAAGAACACCACAAACCTAGAAAATTAAAAAAAAAACTTTCACCTAAAACATTAACTTCACTGAAGAGGATGCCAAGAATGTTACTGTTTCTGGAATTTCCTGTTCATTTTGAGGACAATCGGGGTCTTAATAGGTTTACCGATACCCTATATTTGGGTTAAAAGTTCCTCTGAATTGTTTTAACTTATAGAGTTGGCAACATTTCCCAAATAATGACCGTAACAGCTATACTCGAGTACGTTCAAACATCCTTCTATCAACCTGAAGTCTTGCTCTCTTGGGGTTGAAATAAACTCTAGAAATGCCCCAATATGTAGAAAAGACATTTTCCTTTTACAAAGTCTTTCTTCTTGTACTTGGTTTCCTCTGATATAAGTGATTTACGCCTCACTGGAAGTAAATATGTCCAACTTTGAATCATCTTCCTGAGGTTTACGCGCCAAAGAGCACTGCCACCTGGTAGCTCTTTAATATAGAGTGTGGGAAAAAATGGTTATTGATGATTTTAGACAAGGCTGCAGCTCAGTGACACATTTAGCAGCCAAAGCTGTACATCGTTGTAAAAAGTCAGGAGTACTTCCAGATTTGTCAGCAAACATCAAGCCTATGAAATGCAGGCTCGCAATCCTTGTTAATGAAAACAGGCTGTGATTTAGAAACATGGCAGCTTCCCTGCTGGCTGTTTTACACTATGGCGCTTCTTTAATTGTTAAAAAATGCCTGCAACCTCCACTTCCATTGTTAAGGGAGGTGCACTGTAACAATCCTGTGTAGACAGAAGCAAAATAGGAGAGCTAATCGCTCACTTTCTCCCTGACAAATCAGGATTTTGGTCACACCAGGATTTAATGGAAGTCATTGAAGCTTGCAGTCCTGGAGGAGAGCAGCGCTGTCTCCCTAGATCTCATTCTGAGGCCCTTATCCAATCTCCCATACTGTGTGTGAGGCAGATCAGAGAGAGCACCTCCTGCCCACTCTGTGCCTGGTGACTAAATTCAAAATGGCAGCAATTACAGCGAAAAGCAATGAAGGGGAAAAAAAATCCAGAGTCCCAAAAGTTTAGAACAGCTCTATCTGAGACAAAACTTACTGAGACGCAACCACTAACCC